GACTTGCCACGGTCTCCAACCCTCCTCCTTTCTCATCCGGGCTTGGGACCGGCCATGGCGGAGTTACGATGAGTAACCATAACCTAATAAAATTAAAGCAAGTATTTCGATTTAAAGAAAAGTGAATTTGCAAGTGGACATTAGGGGTCACTTATAGTGGGAAACTTTCGAAGTCCCTTTTAGATTAACTGCTGTTCATGCATTAAGCTACGAAGTGTACTGACCTGCTGTGCTCTCACAATGCAAGTCAACATACAAACATGGAACCTCGCCTAAAGGAAGGTATTATATCTAAAGAAAGAAAATCCGGAATCGTACTCCACAAAAGGGAAAAGTACTGGATAAATGGATAAAAACTTGTAAAAGAATGCGTAAACGTAGTACCAGCTTTTCCAGAGAAAATGAGAAAATGGGAAAAGGAAACCCTTCTACCTAAGGGAAACAACATTCAGAGAACAGATTCATTGTGAACGATGTTCCGATAAGCAAGGAACACGCAAACAATGAACATTCTGCACGCAGTCGTAGTAAATCAGGCATCGAGTATGACGAAGACACGTGAACATAACCGGACGAATAGCTCAGTATGACCCGCGCTGCGGTTTTTACCATGCCTCTAGCAATCCACATGTTGCACATGCAGAAAGCATATGTTATTATTTATTTTTTCAGGCTAAACCACCAAAGTGGTATAATTAAAGCTCGTCATCTATCAGGGACCCATTACATTTTGTTTGACCGCTCACAACGGCCTTCACTCCCTTAAAATACAAGACCATTGATGATCTGACAAAGCATTCAACAGCAATGGCGTACTTCCCATTTCCTTACTACACTATTTTAATAAAACGTCAAATTTTACGTTTCGTTTAATCAGTTTAATATGCAAACATGAAGTTCGCCTCCGATTTCAAACAGGTGCCTTGTCCTCAATGATCTTGCATGTCAAAGTGGTGAGTCCCATGTGACGAATGTCAAAAACGATGTATCTGTTCTCTGTTACATTTAAATAGAAAACGTTCTGCTCCCATCTAAGTTTTACTATTAAAACGACTTTACAGTCACGATACCGGCACTTGGTCATAACTGTTTAGAAGTCGTTATGTTTCAGCCGTTCGTTTAGACGACCATGCGATGAAGAAAACAGCAGCCACTTACCTACGTAAGTCTCTCGAGTCGTATATTCAAACGTTTCTTCGGATTTCATTGGCGTCGGGATGACATAACCAGTTCGTAAACTGCACCGCACTCGTTCCCCTTTTTCGTCCCACTTCCATTCAACCTGGGTCGGTTTTCTAAGGACAGTGATTATCAGCATTAGCACATAACCGCGAGACTGCTTTCTCACGTACAGATCCGCGGGGTCAACCAACGCCACCTCGGTTCTGACGTCCAGAGGTCGTTCAATTTTTCTCAGGGTACCGTTGAAGCCAAGTTCCTTCGCCGCACCGACAGTTTCGTACTTCTAAACGAAGTCGAATGCATATCACCACCTACATGTGGCCCCTAAGCAGCAAATCGTACACAATTCAAACCATCAACGTAACACCAGTTCCGTTCTCTGACAACGTAGTTCACCAAGCCCTGCTTTCCTTTGTCTTTTCCTACTAGTATTTCTACCTGTAATTATGTTTCGAAGTTACAACTATGCCGAAGTCACCGTTCCAACTACCCGGTCTCCACGAAATATCCACCATTTGTCATCCGGTATCACATCTACCTTCGGCGTCTCGATTTTGAATCGGCGTCGCAGACGTTTTTCGTATTCCGCTTTTTTTTGCTCCCTGTCGGCTTGGTATTCCCACGGCCTATGTTCCGTATATATGTATTCGTCAGGATTCCTCCTACATATTAAGAAATTCACAACGGAGTACAGACAATGAAAAAATGTCACTTACTCGTATTCGATTATGTCCGGTGCCCCAAAGCGGTTTCCGAACACCTTTTTCGGCACAGTTTTCTTCACCTTCTCAATGTAAGCTTTAGGAAAGTTCTTGTAATAAGTACAAAACAAAAACGAGGTTATGCGAGGCATCGAGTATAACTAGGCGTGCTCGAGTTTGTTGCCCCACTGCAAAAAATGTTTAATGGCACAGCTTCGCACTACGAACGGCGTTTGCTGTAAACCGTTGATGGCAAATGCTAAAGAGAAAAAAGAACATCAACGGTGATTAGAATACCGTAATCAAGGGAGCTACATAGACACAACATTTTGCCTGATGAATATAAGAAATTTCAATTAATAAATACGCATTTGAAACAATAGCAATAAGACATAACTGCTAAAAAATATATATGACAATTATGAAACAGAATACTATTCACCTGCATCCCCATAGACCTTAGCAGGAAAGACAATAAATAACACGTGTTATATTCTTCAAGACGATTGCAGGAAGCGTTATGGACAGTTACAATGTTAATCTAATTAACAATTAATTTTGATTTCCCATTAAAAGCATCGGTAAGTCTTTTTCTGATGCATAATTCACCTTTAAAAACGTACTAATTTTTCATTTAATTGCATCACAAAATTTATACTTTTCTGCATGGTAAAAGCGAATTATTTCTTCGATGCTGTATTTTTTGAAACAACGAAATGGGTACCCGTGGGGCATCCATTTCTGTAATTCTTTCAGAAGTTTCCATTATA